ACCTTGTCTAACTAAATACAGCAAACTGTTTTATAAGAATACCATTTAATAAGCAAAGATTCTGAAGTTCTTGGAGCTACTAGATATTCTACTCAGTGGTTTTACATATATTATTTTTAGTCTTCACAGTCTTCAAGGAAAGTAGTATCATCCCCCTTTGCCATACAAAAACACTGAGGCTCACAGAAGTTAAATACTCCTCCCACAGGTAAAAAGCCAGGAAGTGGTAAAAATAGGATTCTAACTCCAAAACCATTTCTGCCACGAGAGAGAGGGAGAAAAATGCCTAAGTATGATTATCTTATATAATTTCAGGCTTTGTGTTATGAAGTAAATAGTAGATTCTTTGAGAGCCCAACTAAGAGATATAAAATCAGCAACAGTATCAACAGCGATGCTCTTACTCATGAGTTTGCCCCAGAATGGCTCGAGAGCACTAAAGTCAGGCAACAGGAAATTAGGCAATGTCTTCTAGGGGCAACAAGACATTCAGCATTTCAGCCCAAACAGGATGGAATAGACACATTGGGTTTTAGCAATTAATTACATGTAATGAAGGAAAAGCACTCCATAAATCAGAAACAAATTCAGAGCATATTATCTAGGAGTGATTGCAGGCTAAAAAGACATTCCATAGAAGCACAGGCTGTTGATAAGGCAAGATTATTTTCAAAGCAATCTTTTTCAGTAGAAAGTATTCCTGGGAGAAAAACTTCCGTCCAAGAAATCTGACTTTGTTTATCTGTAATATGACTTACTGAACCAATATTACTAAAAGGTTATTCATACTTTAGATTGCTTTTCACTATCACAAGACTACATTGTCTGAACTTTAAGCACTTTGATTCAACAAAAGTTATGAATCATGCTGGTTATGACTTCAACCTTCATGAAGCTTCTGTAGAACTCATAAGTATAAAAATGGAAAAATTAAACGTAGTAACTTTTCCCTTGAAATGACATATGAGCATATTATTATTTTTAAATCCTGTTATAACAACCATAGATTGCTTTTAATGTAGGACTGGGCAAACATGACTAGAATAGTGGTTAAATTTTCCACTTTTAAATTTTAAATTTTCCGCTTTAAATTTAAATTTTCCAATTTTAAATTTAAAAATTTTGAAGTCGAAGCCAGCCATAACACATAGGATCTATGTGTCTGAGGACAATTTACTTAATTTTTCTGCATCTTAATTTTCCTACTTGTTTAAATAAGTATGATAATAGCACCTATCTTATAAGAGTCTCTTAGAATGAACTGGCACATAAAGCACTAAGAAGAGTACTCTGAGCATACAAAGCACCCCGACTTCTCTTTTTTATGGCAAAACTCCTATTGCACTCGTATGTAATTCCTTTCCTCCATTTCTCTCTTAATTCACTCTAACTGGGTTTCTCCCACCAACACTCTACCTAACCTACCCTTATTAAGGTAAGCAGTGACCTTCATATGCCTGAATCTCATGCCCAGTTCTCACCCCTCAACTACTAGACACATGGGACTTGTTTTACACAGTGTCCTTTGCCAGGAGTGTTCCAGGACTAATTCTGGAAATTGTTCTCTTTTCTACTTATAGCCACTCCTTTGTTCATGGCATCCAATACCACGGTTTTAACTACAATCTATACGCAGAGCTCTTTTTGAATTTATATCTCAACCTGGCACCTATGCTTGAACCCCAGATTC